TCAAATCATCACCAGTCTTTCTACCTATGTATCTAGATAAAGGAGGGGGAACAGCACATAATATCCATGTACAAAGTAGAAGTGGTAACTAACAGGAAATGAAATTTAAAATAGTGTCTAAAGATTAGCTTTCCCAAAGCTTCAACTCATGGTGTGCATGGACTTGAGGTGCTTCATTTATAATACAGCCAGACACAATGTGAAATCATTGACATAGACAGACAGAATGAATGAGGTGCTTATTACTTTAATCACTTTGAGTTACTCTGCCACACTGAGGTGAAGAACACAACCAAGACAAAATTGGAATGATCAAAAGGGATTAGGAACCGGAAAGGTTAAAGGCAAGTGTTTTTTGGGGGGGCAAGGGACAGAGAGAGGCAATTAAATGTTAGAGATCCAGAAAGGTTTTTACTATCATCTCAGCATACTAGTATACAGTACATGGAAATTCATTGTTTTCCTTATTTGGTTACTCTCCATATCAGTGAATACAGTATGTAAGAAACCCATTCATGGAATCTCTGTCTAGTAATTGAGTCCTTATCTTGGGTGCTTGCAGAAGAGGAAGATAATTGGAACAGGACAATATTTGCAAAAGACCTAGATGCGTGAAAGAGCATGGACCTGTTTAGAAGACTGGAATCCAAGGCATATCTGGGGAAGAGACAGGAACCAGTACTGGAGAGGTTGGTCAGAAAGCAAATCAGAAGAGCTGTTGATGTGTCTGTGCCAAAAAGTTACATTGTTAGTCTGCAAGTAATAGCTAATTATTGAAGGGATTTTAAGGACTAGGGATCTGCATTTATTATTATTATTATTTTTTTCAAAATCTTCTTGGAACCAAAGTGGCTAAATTTGAGTCAAGAAAATGCTCATGCCTTTGTCTAGATAAAGAAAATGCTCATCATCTTTGTTCAGTGAAAGATTGAGGCGGTGGGGGTGAAAAAGAAGGAAATGAATCAGAGAAATCAATAACAATTAAAAACAGCATGTTGAGGATGAGAGAGAGCAGGAAATCCAGCATGACGTCAGGTTTCTGGATGTGCTGACTGGGAGGCAATGTGGCCATTAACGGTGAGGAGAAATTTCAGAGGAAGAACAAATTGGGGTTCAGCAGCAATGACTTCACTTTCCAATCTGTTGAATCTGAGGCAGTTGGTTAAATATCCAAGTAGATTAATCCAGGGGATAGTTGGAAATATGGTCGAGGTACTAACTTAGAAGGTACTCACCTAGTGTTATTTATCCTATGAGTATATGCAGAAAGATTGTGTAGGGTGAGAAGGAAAGAACTGGCAAGGAGGATGCCCAGAGAACCACATTTAAGGGATGAATGAGTGCAAATTAGTCTACAGATTGACTAGAGACTGCAGAGAAGTAGGAGGTGAACAAAAGGAGAGAGGTAAAATCGAGTTCAGGGAAGCAGAATTTCAATGCTTGTGCAACAGTCAACTCAAATAAATGGGGCAGAAAGGTCAAAATCACTGAAAAGTGCTGATTGAATGCAACAATCAAATCATGGAGTTTCAATAGGATAGTGGGAATAGAAGCCAGTAATTGGGTGAAAAGCAAATGAATAAGAAAAAGCATGGGTTGAGTGCTTTTTTCAAAAATTTCTGCTGTGAAGAAAAAGAGGTAGGGTTAAAAGTGCAATTGCTAAAGGAATTTAAGAACTATTTTGGTATATTTGATATGTCTATATTTGTTTTAGAAGCATAGTGCATGTAGACAGGGTATGGGACCAGGAAGCATATACCCAGAGCCAAGAGCAAGCTGATGGGGCCACTGGCCTCTAATCTGCTGGGCATTAGAGAGACAATAATAATGATGGCAAACTGAAATAGTACTTACTATGCTACCAACACTCTTCTTTATTTTGTTTACATGTATTAATTTGCCTCCCTGGCATATCTGCTCTGTCACGTACATTTTATAATCCCCATTTTGGTTACAAAAAACAGGTACAAAGAGGTGAACTTACCTGCTAAATTTGTGTACTGCCCGCTACACTAAACAAATGCATTATCTCAGAGCTGCTAAAAGGATATATACCTGTACACGTCAGCTTCAACAGATTTATAAGATCCTTGATTGAGTGGTAGAAAGAAGAGGAGATAGGGACCAGGGCTTTTGTTATAGATACAAGATTTCATCTTGTGGAGTTTATAATCTGATAGGGGAGGCAGAAACTAAGTTCGCCAAAAATATTTCCCTAATTAGGGAAAGTTTCACCATGCAATATGTCTTTGCAATTCTTTCATATCATTAAAAAGTTGAGGATTGAGTAAAATTATTGCCTCTTGAATATTTGACTGTTAATCTTGAAAGAAAGTTTAGTTGAGAATAACAGCTGAGAGTCAGTTTGTTGTGACAGAACTGAACGGGTCATTAGAATGAATTAAAGTGTGGGTGAGTAATTCAGGGTGGTAATCAGGGCTAGAATGTGGGTGGAAGTGGACAGGGAAGAAAGAGAGAAATGAAGATGGAAATGATAGGATGTTGAAACAAAGATTATCTTGATCACACAGTTGAGTGAAGCTCAAAATTACTTGTAGGTAATTGGTAGAACTCACAAAAGGCTAGGTAAACTTTCGTATTTGAGGCACATTGCTTATCCTGATTGCTTGAGCTGTTCCTAGTTTTATGCCTATCCCTCTAGAAAGGTAGCATTGTTTGAAAATTTTAAAAAATAATTAGAAATTTTTTAGTCTCTTGCTGTGCTATTAGTATTAGCAACAGAAAATAACAGTAAGATTTATCCAAATCTTTCTTTGTTCCAGGCATAATGCCTGCCATTTTGTATGAAGTATTTCATTTAACTTTTAGAAAAGTCCTGGAGATGACTCACTATTATTCTTACTTTACACATGAAGAAACTCAGGCTTTAGGGACACAGCATTCCTTGTCTAAGGTCCTAGAACTTTCAAGTGCCTAAGCCAAGATGTGAACCAGGTGGTGTGACTCCAAACTCAAGCACTCAAAACTTTGCACTGTACAAGAAATAGACAGTGATCTAGCCACTTCCTTCAAAGTTGGCCCAGAGCTACCAAGTCCACATATGGGAAGATTAGCCTTCGAAAAACTTTGTCTTTCAGTTCTCCTGACTATAGTTCTTTAGGCCTTTGTTCTTGAAAATGAATATTAGGAGAAAGTTGAATCTGGTAAAAAATAGTTAAAAGTTATCTTTTTTTTTCAACACCAGACAAATGGTAGATCTCTTCGAGATTCATTCTGCTGAACTATGCAAACATCATAGTATAAAAGTTATCTCAATGAAGTTAGAGAAGCTTCCTATGTTTATACCTTGCCTGACAAGGCTGTTAAAAATATTTCTTTACTTTTTCAATGCAAAAGGGAGCTGTACTTGTGTGTGCTTAGTTGTTCTAGATACCTGTGTTGAAATTATACTGAAGAGAGTCTTGATAAGGAAGGCACTTGGGACAATGAAAGTGAATATAACTATCCCAGTGATGTTTATCCATCCATCTCTTCCAAGCTATGTACTTGCTGTGCTACCTGCTGAGATAAAGAAATAAAGACAATACTGTCACCAATTTCATCTTCTGGAGTTTATAATCTCCTGGGGGAGGCAGAAATTTTAAAAGTTGACCAAAAGTATTTAATTACTATTAAACTGGATTTTGAAAACTCTAATAAAATTCTAAATTTGATTGCTTTCCAGTTAACTGTAATGTTCTGAATAGCTTTGAATGTTGGGGAACAGGCTAGTTAATGACTGAGAGTACACTAGCTCTGTGTTAATAAGTATTCAATTATAGACTCAGTGTATTTAAATAACTGAGGCAATACGTATTAAAAAGGCTACTGTCTTCCATAGGATAAAGTGCTGTGTAAATAGAAAAAAATAGCATACTTTAATATCTTCATTATTTATGTTCTATATTGCTTATTTATTGCTGTATTATCAAACAGACAAATACTAATCTTGGGCTGCTGTTATAGGGAAACTTTAAAAAAATAAGTTATCACTGGTTCTTTTCTTGCTTCTTGTTTCTGCTGTATTGTTCTGGAAACTCAGTAAAAGAGACATTCTAAGGAAGACTAGGAGAACAACAGCCCTAAGCCAGAAGATCTCCAAACCTATTTTTTCTGTATAGTTTTATTTTATTTTTTTTTTATTGCATTTTAGGTTTTGGGGTACATGTGAAGAACATGCAAGATTGTTGCATAGGTACACACATGGCAGTGTGATTTGCTGCCTATATCTGGCATCACCTATATCTGGCATTTCTCCCCATGCTATCTCTCCCCAACTCCCTACCCCCCACTGTCCCTCCTCTATTTCCCCCACACAGACCCCAGTGTGTGATGCTCCACTCCATGTGTCCATGTGTTCTCATTGTTCAACACCCACCTATGAGTGAGAACATGTGGTGTTTGATTTTCTGTTCTTATATGAGTTTGCTGAGAATGATGGTTAGATACTTTACAAAAGAAGACATACATGAGGCCAACAAACATATGAAAAAATGCTCATCATCACTGGTCATTGGAGAAATGCAAATCAAAACTACATTGAGATACCATCTCATGCCAGTTAGAATGGCAATCATTAGAAAATCTGGAGACAACAGATGCTGGAGAGGATGTGGAGAAATAGTTTTATTTTTTTAAACCAAACCCCAAAGTTATAAAGTGATATTCAAGCATTTCCAAAGCTTTATTAAAAGTTTTGCATTTGATATTAAAACTGGGTAAGAGTTCCTAGGTAACAGATATACTTGAAGCCTTCATCCATGAAAATTATCTCCCTTGAGCTTAGGCTGGATGAAACTGTGCTTTGTCTCCTGCCTGTTGAGGTCCCTGGAAAATGCAAAGAGTAAAATTTATACCTTTATGGATTCTTGAAAGAATGTCTCCCTGCATTTATTTGAGCCATGCTACAGTGGCACAGTGACGGTATTATTGAGTTTCTAAATTCCTATATTGGTTTTTAATAAACTCATGACTTTCTTTCCCACTGAATTTTCTGACAGGCCCAGTTTGAACTTCGGACATTTCATATCCGGGGCGAGCATGCAGTGATAACAGCAAGACTAGAAGAAACCATTGAAAATCTGAAACACGAGTTAGAACACAGATGGCAAGGGGGTTGTGAAGAGAGGAAAGATGCATGCATTTCCACCGATGATGACTGCCCTCCAAAGACCTACAGAAATGTGTGCATCCAGACAGACAGACAGACCTTCCTCAAGCCCAGTGAAGGTGAAAGCAAGACAACCAGAAGTAATCAATTAGTACCGAAAAAGCTAAATATCTCCTCTTTAAGCCAGCTCTCTCCCCCAAACGACCACAAAGACATCCATGCAGCACTCCAGCCAATGGAAGGCGCCCAGTCAAATCAGCAAAAGGCACCACCTCCACCTCCTGCACCACCCCTACCTCCTGCACCACCCCTGCCGGCATCCATCCCTCCCCCTCCGCCTCTTCCCCAAGGACTTGGATCTTTGTCTCCAGCACCTCCAATGCCACCTGTGAGTGCTGGGCCACCGCCACCACCTCCGCCACCGCCTCCACCACCACCTCTACCTCCACCTTCAAGTGTTGGACCTCCACCACCCCCACCCCCACCCCCACTTCCTAACTTCCCTGTGCCACCCAACCCTGGAGGGCCTCCTCCTGCTCCAACCCCCCCAGGACTTGCACCCCCACCTCCCCCTGGACTTTTCTTTGGACTTGGCTCTTCTTCTAGTCAATCTCCTCGAAAACCAGCCATTGAGCCCAGTTGTCCCATGAAGCCTTTATACTGGACTAGGATACAAATAAGTGATAGGAGGTAAGCTCTCCTCTATCCCATTCTCAGCAGGTGAATTCTCAGGATTTTTCCCAAATGATGTTTTATTCTTACTGGGTCAATATGTCCATAGTGTAACACCCATTATCTAGTGTGATACAGTGAATGCCTTGGATAAACAAGGTTGGAATGTTTGGGGAGAATGTCTGTCTCCAGCAAGGCCTCTCTATATTCTCTAAAGATGCTGGGAGAAACAATGTGTTTCAGTGTCAAATTTTTCTCTAAGGCAAATGTTCAATTGTATAGACTGGAGTCCAGGTCTAAACCAGGGCTTTCCCCAACATTGCTACAACTGATGAGTAATCATAAAGAATTGAACCTGATTCCATACTGTAGGTTCACTGAGGATTTTTCTAATACTTTTTACTGTCTTGTTTTTAGATGCTGTAATCAACCTATAATCTAGATATTTAATAGAAATGGGTGTTTTTCAATTTTTATTAAAAGAACAAGATATGGATAAGTTATTAGTTCTTTAGAGGAGTCTTAAAATACAAACTCTCTCTGCTTGAACGCTATTTCTTCTAACTTTTAAATACTCTCACATCTTTCTTCATACCTTGATGTCCTTCAAAGAAAGTATCAGTATGAGGATAGCTGAAAGCATCTTCCATATATATAGGTTGATAAGCTGGGTTTCTAAGGTAGCAAGATACAGTTGCTTGGAAACATCCATACAAACAAATTTGAATGCGATTTGTTTGGCCTTATTTTTGAGCCTGGAAGGAGGACAATGAGAGAGATGTTGCCTCTCGACCACTTTCTCCTTTAACGTTTGTTTGTAAACAGCAAATATAGGACACATTTTACAACTGTTCCCAAGTCATGATGTGGTAGTAAATTCTTCAATTTATGTAACATTTTGCTTACAGAAGGCAGGATATGAAACAAAATAACACACAACTCACAATTATAAAACAGCCAGAAATCACTGTGGAGGAATGGGGAATGCCTTAAAACTAAGCATATGTGCTTCATATTTTCCCCTTTTCTCTCACCAAAAAATAAGGGCCAAGATTCAATTTTTGGAATAGCCTGATACTTCTTTTTTCAAAATTTAATTATACTTTGTGATTTCCCAAATGAATAGTTAATAAAAAAGTGAGATGATCCTGTAATAGCTTCTGCCATTAACTAAAGTACTAGTATTCCCTTTTCCCTAATGAAGACTCAGACATTTCCTAAAAAATCATTTCCCAGAATATTTATTCTGAGTCATGTTTCCTTATTAGTGTTCTCAAATTAGTGCACAGCCATTCCAGGGTGATGGCTGCCACCTGTAAGCCTTGGACAAATGTGTTTGGCAGTGCAGGGAGCTGTTCCACACCTGTGTCCTACTAGCCTGCTTTCACTTCCTTCCCTGAGACACTTCATGAGCAACAGATACTGTAGATCGCAGCAGCCATAAAAGAGTGGCACTGGGAGATATGGACCCTTCACCCAAGACCAAGGGAAAGCTAGGGATAATCATTGTCAGCCTTGTTTCTTCCTTATGTAGTTGGCCATTTGGAGAAGAAAACCAATTGGCTACTCAAGGTCTCATTGGTTTCATCATAAATCTAGGCCTTTACTTTTGAGCAAATGAAAAGTAGATGAATAGGACATCAAGAGAGCCCTGCTTGGTGAGTGTATCACCCTTGAACCTGAAATATAACATAGGGGCTGTCCCACTATGATGTGTTAAGACTTATTACATGGGGACTGCCTGATGACACCACATTTTCAATCTCTTTTATTATGGGTCCCTCCAACTTTTTCTACCTATTAGAACTACTGCTTTTAAATGAAAATGATTCAGAGTCTGTGGAATATTTGCTTATGAGCAAAAGTGCAATTATTTGGGAACCTTCTTATAAAGGAGGCAAAATCGTATTTTAACATTTTGTGCAAGTAGAGGAGTAAGAAGTTTATATAACGATTGCATCATAAATGTTGGTCTTGCTTTTTGGGAAGCCAGAAACAAAATGTGAATTTTCAGCATTATATATACACTGCCACTCATCCACCTAAATTGCTTTTGACTACTGGTATGAACTGATTTTTTTCTTTTGCCATTTTGTTTTCTTCAGTGTCTGTTTTGTGATTTCTAGAATAAGAAAGAGACAATTAGTTAAAGAAAAGTAAATCCTCATCTAACTACCTTTTCAGCTTTTTAGTAAGTTTCTCGTTTTCCTCCTCTTCTTTTTTTCTCTCCCTCTCCCAGCTTTCCATGTGAGCTAGAATTTTATGTTCAGTGGTCAGTTGACCACCACAGCAGGTCATTTGTTGTGAAGCAAGTCCTTATTATTGCTCTACCAAATGCCAGCTATCCCCAAATCACTGAGAGGCAGTGTTCCAAAATTCTTTTATTCAGTATTGGAAATGCCTTTCCCATAGAAATAGTGTTGTAAATGGTGATCAGTTGCTCAAACTGATCACTGTTGATTCCCAAAGCCAATTTACATTGGAGTATAAGTGAATTATAATACTAGTTATACTGGCCTGATCTCAGAGTCCATGTAGCTAGAACCAACCAGGTGCAGGAAGTGGGGATGGGGCTGAGCAGTTGGCCTATCATATTGCGTCACCTCACTCTAGGCATCACTCCTTAGCTGCCCAGAACCTTCCTGAGGCCCATACCACTGGCCCTTAACATGCTCACTGCAGAATTCCCTGGCTGGGTTCCTTAATCAAGATCCCACCTTTCCCCACCTCACCCCCAGCACCGCAATGGTAAGCACTGAACATTAATGGCACTCATGTTTCAAGTTGAAGTTAGGTGAGTAGCAGAGGGGTATGGCTGAGGGAGGAACACATACAGGGATATATACTTCACTGGAAATATTCTAGCCCATGGGTTGGGTAATGGTTTCCCAGGTGTTCATTATATTGTTATACTTTATAACTTCCATATGTCACATATATACTATTAAATGGTTCAACCATTAGAAAAATCATAATTTAAAAAATAACAAAAAGCAAAGGAGAGAAGAGGTGAATGTGGCCACAACCAAAATGTCATATATCATGGGAAAGGCAGATCTATTGCAAAATATGAACATGCATGCCTGAGAAGCCAGGGCTGCCAACTGTTTTAAATATCAAAATCACCTATAGTATCAAAAAGTGTGGTGGACCATTCTATATAATAATAGTTATCTTTTTAGTTTTCATTGAGAAAATATGTATGGAAACAAAGTTATATATTTTAGATGTTATGGATTGTAACACATACATATGTTTGATATATGATCAGTATGTAGATAAAATTTTTTTCTGTCTGTGGGCATTGAGAGTGTTATTTTTTTTTGAGATGTACTCTTGTTCTGTCACCTGTGCAGTGACACAATCTTGGCTCATTGCAACCTACGCCTCCCAGGTTCAAACAATCCTTCTGCCTCAGCCTCCCAAGTAGCTGGGATTACAGGTGCACTACACCACGCCCAGCTAAGTTTTTGTACTTTTAGTAAAGACAGGGTTTCATCATGTTGGCCAGGATGGTCTTGAACTCCTGACCTCAAGTAATCTGTCCACCTTAGCCTCCCAAAGTGCTTTTCTTTCTTCCCTCCCAAACTTGGGTGCTTGTTTCTGGAAGACGAATCAGCACAATTACCCTGTGGCTGCTTTAATTGAAATCCCATGAGGGCTGGTGTAATGGAGGAGGTTTTTGGTTGGTTTTTGTTGTTACATTGTTTGGGGGATGTAGATACTATAAATCATGTTATTTTAAAATAAGCTCAGCCTCTTCACAGATTGAGAACTTGGACCCAGTGAACCTGCATTAATCCTAAAAGCTGTATTTAAAAGTAGTTGAAAAAGTCCAAAGAGGAGGCAGATCTTTAATTCGGTACTCCATTTTCAATCTACTTCAGAATTAGCTTGTCAAAGTCTCAGATTGTTTTATAGCTTCAGTCTTTATATGGTGCTGATTTTTACACATCATGGAAATGCCCAGACTGAAGGAAGAGCAGCTTGGGTGCCCCCTAGTAATCCAAATCTCAGGATTTGTGGCTCTAAGGAGTTTCTCTAGAGCTCTATCTCTAATTGTATCTAATGAGAGTTGTTTTTTTGGGAAATATGTCTGTGTGTGTTTTAATGTTCTATAGTATATTTTGACTTTAACAAATGCATAACATGAAAAGCTTTTCTCTAAGCATTATTAGAGTTTTATGTGTTTTTTTAAAGTAAAATAAAAAAAATGGATTAGAGAAAGATTTCATTGTATTATATTCTCTCCTATTTTGGTTCTTATGATTAACTTGTCATTTTCTCTTTTAAGCCAAAATGCTGCACCAACCTTATGGGACTCCTTAGAAGAACCTGACATTCGGGACCCTGGTGAATTTGAGTATTTATTCTCCAAAGACACAACTCAACAGAAGAAAAAACCTCTGTCAGAGACTTATGAGAAAAAAAACAAGGTCAAAAAGGTACTGAGTGATTATAGCAAAGCTGTAATTATATATATATATATATTTATATATATATACACACACACACATACATATGTATATATATAATAATACAGGGAAATGGTATATATATCATATATACACACATTCATATACATATATGTGTCATTCATGGGAATTTATTACATATTTCCTATGTGTGTGTATATGAGTCATGGGAATTAATTACGTGCTGTTCATTTGCTTTCCCTGTTTTCAGGAAATGTTTCAGAAGGTTTTGAGTGGTAGATGGCAAGGCAGCCAATAGTTCATGCCATCTGTGCTTACTATTTTGGCCATATCTTCCGAATTTTCAAAGTTTAATCTGGACCTTTTCAACCATTAATTCTATTGAAATAAAAATAAAATTTAATTTGTGGTTAGTGAAAGTAGTCTGTAGGTTATATGAAAAATAGGTTTTATCTATACATTCACTTATTTAACAAATATTTCCTAGGGATTTACTGTGCTAGGCATTTGTCCTAGGCCCACACTGTCCAGTATGGTAACCTGTGGCTATTAAATAATGAAATTAAATAAAATAATGTAGTTCTTTAATTGTACTAGCTGCTTTACAATTTTGTTGTTGTGGCTAATGGCTACTATATTGGATAGCACAGATGTAAAACATTTCCATCATATAAAAAGCTCTGTTGGACAGCACTGTCGTAAGCATTTGGGATGTGTTGAGGGCAAAAAAAAAAAAATATTCCCCCATGGAGTTTATATTAACAAATGCTAAACACAAACCCTGTCAATCACATAGTAGTGCAGGAGGAGGAGGGCCAACTTTAGTAGGGTGGGAATGAGGTCTGCAATTTAAAATGGGGTGTTCAGGGTAGGCCTCATTATGAAGGAGACTTCTGAATAGTGACTCAAGGATTGAAAACTGAGAGGCACCAGCCATCTGTAAAAGAATGAGTTTAGGATTGTCAAGCAGTCAGGCAACCATGAGGATGACTCACCCTCTACCACACACTCACTGTGAGATCTGAGGCAGTGATGCTAGGTCCTTCCACTCTCTGTGTCTGGGTCCCTGAATCATAGCCTGAGATGATGTCTGCTCATAATGTTCCTCTAAGTAATTATTCAATGTATCAGGCTCAGCACACTGTCAGTACTCAACATATTATAGCTGCTCTTGCTTTTACTACTGTTACTACCACGGCTATCATTTCCCTGTTTTAGTGGGGTTTTGTTTGGTTGGTTGGTTTTCCTTATTTTTAATAGTAGCAGAAATGGTGTCAAGGAAAATGTATAGTACTCTGTTCTGCTATTGATTTGCTATGTGAGCTTGGGCTGGTTGTCTTCCTTGTCATATTTTCCCTTCTCTATAAAATAGGATTAATAGTACCTGAATCTACCTGACCCCCTAGAATGTTGTGAAATTCACATCTAAGAGGGTCTGAGGCAGTGTTTTGAAAAGCATATAATATCGAATGATACCATCTACCCCTTTTCTTTTTTTTGAGATAGAATCTCGCTCTTGTTGCCCAGGCTGGAGTGCAATGGCACGATCTCAGCTCACTGTAACCTCCTCCTCCTGGATTCAAGCAATTCTCCTGCCTCAGCCTCCCAAGTAGCTAGGATTACAGGCATGCGCCACCATGCCTGGCTAATTTTCTGTTTTCAGTAGAGATGGTTTTCACCAGGTTGTCCAAATTGGTCTCAAACTCCTGACCTCAGGTGATCGCCCAACTCAGCCTCTCAACGTGCTGGGATTACAGGTGTGAGCCACCATGCCTGGCTACTCTTCCTTCTTAAATTATATAGTGGGGTTCATCATCAGTTTATTTCTCAAGTAATGTAATAATGATGAAATTAGCTGCAAATTACTGGGGACAAATGGAAATGCCTGAATATAGTTTTCTGTTAATCAAATCAGATTTTCCTACTGACTTTAATTATGGATACAATCATGATCAAAATTTTTCATCTCTCAAGTTCACAGGAATTGTGTTATCTTGAGAAAAATATCCAAATTAGTGTTAAAGCAAAATTTTAAGAGGCTATATTGCATGGAACAAATTAAATTTTTCTAATAAATTGGCTCTGTGACCCCAACCAAATCTCATCTCTAATTGTGATCCCCAGCCGGGTGTGGTGGCTCATGCCTGTAATCCCCGCACTTTGGAAGGCCGAGGTGGGCAGACCACCTGAGGCCAGGGGTTTGAGACCAGCCTGATTAACATGGAGAAACCCTGTCTCTACTAAAAATACAAAAATTAGCTCAGCATGGTGGCAGGCACCTGTAATCCAAGCTACTCGGGAGGTTGAGGGAGAAGAATCACTTGAACCTGGGAGGCAGAGGTTGCAGTGAGCCGAGATCCAGCCATTGCACTCCAGTACTCCAGGACAAGAAGAGCGAAACTCCATCTCAAAAGAAAAAGTATAATCTCCGCATGTCCAGGAGGGACCTGGTGGGAGGTGATTAGATCATGGGGGCAGATTTCCCCTTTCGTACTCCTGATAGTGAATGAGTTCTCACCAAATTTGGTTGTTTGATAAGTGTCTGGTACCCCTCCCATGCCATCCTCTCTCTCCTGCTGCTGTGTTAGTAGTATCTTTATAGCAGTGTGAAAATAGATTAATACAAATAGTAAGTTCCAGACAAATCCGGTCCCCCCCCCAAAAAAAAGTCAGCTGATTTACATAAAATGTATTCTCATGCAATTAGATTCATATGACATGTTGTAGCCAGGCTGGCTTTTAAAATGCCATCTGTAGAAACAGAAGACTTGTTTCTACCTGAATGTAAAAAGGCAAATCTCTATATTCCAAAGCTAATTTCAGTTTGCCTCTTTCAGGAAGGTTTCTCTGTCTAATCAGAACCTCTGCTGAATACTTTCTTATGCAAGATCATATTAAACTTGCTTTTGTTCTCTATTGCTTCTTAGATTGCTATTACTCTTCATTTCTCTCCAGATGCTTGAAAACATGTTGTTTACTCATATGACTATGCACTTCTGTTTTGGTGAATGAATATTGTTTTAAAAACATTGAAGCGGCCGGGTGCGGTGGCTCAAGCCTGTAATCCCAGCACTTTGGGAGGCCGAGGCGGGTGGATCATGAGGTCAACAGATCGAGACCATCCTGGTCAACATGGTAAAACCCCGTCTCTACTAAAAATACAAGAAATAAGCTGGGCACGGTGGTGCGTGCCTGTAATCCCAGCTACTCAGGAGGCTGAGGCAGGAGAATTGCCTGAACCCAGGAGGCAGAGGTTGCGGTGAGCCGAGATCGCGCTATTGCACTCCAGTCTGGGTAAGAAGAGCGAAACTCCGTCTCAAAAAAAATTGAAGCATTTGGTCATTTATTCTTATTTCTTTTCTTATAATGGTTTGCGTGTTCAACAAAGGATTTTAACTAAGCCAGTTAGTATTCGATAAATTCATTTTGTTTCTCTGTTTGAGGGGGGAAATACGCTTCATTTAAACTCTAAGTTTTCTGTACAGGGTGGTTGCGATTGCCCCATAGAATCTATGCACTTGAATAGTGCTTGCTTTTCTCTGTAAGTGGAGGCAAAAAAAAAAAAAAAAAAAATGGGTCTACTGGGCTTTGTGGTAATAGGCAGCTTGTAGTTTTCAGTGAGCTTTATGTCCTACCTTAGAGCTGAGGTTTTAAGTTTTAAAGAAAATAGCAAGCTAAACTGATGCCAGAGAACTCCAAACCTACCTCCTATGATCTTTCCTCCATGCCTGTGGCCAGATTTCCAACATCAACATCAAGATGGATCCCTTGGTCTCTTCTGAGAGTCAGATGTTTGTTTTCTTCCCTCCTGAAAATGAAAAGTGGTTTTAGAGGTGGTGAGGAGTTGAGGAGTTTCAGCATTGAAGACCAACTCCTTCAGCTGAATTATGGAATGGTTCCCATATGAGAAGACCAGAGGACACTTGCCAAATAGGTCTTTTTATAATAGAATGACTGAACAGGAGAAAGTGCTGGGTATATTACTGGATTTCAAAATCCAGGATTCTGAATCTTGGCTATAGGGCCTCAGTAGCATTGAAATGTGAATATGAAAATATGAATCTCTCTCTCTTTTTTTTTTGAGACAGAATTTTGCTCTTGTCACCTACGCTGGAGTGCAATGGCACGATCTTGGCTCACTGCAACCTCCGCCACCCGGGTTCAAGAGAGTCTCCTGCCTCAGCCTCCCAAATAGCTGAGATTACAGATAGCCACCACAATGTCCAGCTAATTTTTGTATTTTTTGTAGAAAAAATACAAAAACGGGGGTTTCACCATGTTGACCATTCTGGTCTCAAACTCCTCACCTCAGGTGATCCACCCACCTCAGCTTCCCAAAGTGCTGGGATTACAGGTGTGAGCCACTGTGCCTAGCCATGAATATCCCTTAAACACAGCTGGTCTTTATCATTCAGCACATAGAAGTAATAGGATGATCAAGAGTCTGTGGAACTCATATTAATTTCTAACTTTAACTACTACAATAGTATTTAAATTTCACATCACTGGCAGTTGTTTAAAGTAACTCTCTCTATATATCTTCTCAAACTAGGCAGGGATCCTCTTCTGTAATGTTATGTAGTCTAAGAATTAGAAGGAATCTTACCCATCATCTAACTCAGCTCTCTCATTTGGCACATGAGAAACTGAGACCTAGAAAGATAAAGTGACTTGTAGGGGTTTGCACATTTTTGACTGAGAAGACGTTGTTCATGATGAACACTTGTTCATCAGCATGTATCTGCATTTTCTCTTTATTTCAATGGTAATTTGCCACATTGGCGAGAGTATCAACCTGCACTGGGGTGATTTATTTGAAGCTTATAACTGAGAGTAGCCATTATTAAAATCATCAACAAAATATAGCCACATTTCTGCAGATCCAAAGTATTTCCTACATTGTATAATTATCCACAGTTTTCTTCAGAGTCTTCCAATAGGAAGCTAAATCTTTGAGTAAAAAACGTGCTTTCTGTGTAACTCTAGCAAAAGACGTACAGATTTGGAGC